AGAGGACGCGCAGTGCTCATGGATGGCTTCGGCGGGAGTCGAACCCGCATTTCTCTCGCGAAGCTCTAGGCTGCAGCAAAATACCCAGAGAGTGATCCACCGTGATCCACGAAGCCTGGTGGGTTGGTAGACACATCAGGCTATTCAGCAATGCTCATTGCGCGCGGTCGCCTCGGTGTCGTCCTTGGCAGCAGAAAGCGGAAGTGAACATAGTATTCCGGCTGATTCCGGCAAAAGAGCTCCGAGATTTGGATCATGCGGGATACAGCTGGAGAGCCTCGGGATTCGCGTGTTGGTCCGGCGTTCGGCGCTCCCGTCTTGGCGGTGCGTCGAAGAGGACAAGTTGAACGAGGAAAGGGACGGGACTTCCGATCAGCCGGTGGGACCATGCGCAAATACTATCTGCGACCCCCTACTTGGCCACCCTACCTAGTTGGCCACTTGGGAGCCAGATGGTTCAATGCTTGATAATCGCAGCTGGGCATAATGGAGGATCGGAGTACGACCTGTGATGAATGTCTGGACCAAATTTGGAGTCAAAGTGATGAGTTGATCAAAAGTTATGGCATGTCGGATCAGGATCCGAAGGGTGAGAACATCAATTTCTTAACGCCGACACGCTTGCCTTGCTCGTCTCGGCCGCCTCTCCACCAATCCTTCATCGTTCCGCGACTTCTTGGGCTCGTTCTGCTCCCCTGGTGCGGGACATTCATTCCATTGGCTCCTCGGTGTTTATGGGTGAGATTCCTCTTCACCACACACTCATGAAGGTGCCGGTGCTGTTTTGAGTGGCTCAGGATGGCCAGCCCCGTATTACACGACACCGCCATGCTACCGATCTGGAACTTGGCATGCGGCCTCTTGATGTGCGATAGCTAACTATAATAGGTATTTTGAAATTTTATCGACCTGACTCTCTTCTCTCTGCTGTCCTTTTTCCCAAACTACCCAATTTCTGTGTTGCTGACACTCGGATGTTTTGGAGGGGCTGCCAGCATGTTGGTATGGAGTGGGGTGTTCAGGCATGTCCTAATACTTCCTATCAAGCTACCTGGCTGGGGCTTACTTTGGGCCATCACAGGGTTTTCCTCTGGTGGGACATTCAGACAGTTGGGGACCTTGATTTCGGCCATTCCCAGTCTGTCGGAGGCAGATATTTTGACCTTTCATACACCTTATCTGTAGAGTATAGCTATGTTAAATAGTCCTTAAATCCTCATTGTACAATTCCTGGTTGATAAGGGAGCAAATTTGAGAGTCAACGGTTCATTTGGCTGAGTGGCCAACTAGCCTGTTATTTGGCCATGTTGGACTGCCGCCCGAAAGAAATTCACTGCAACATCAAATCTTCAGATAATTGGATCGGAGTGGTCTTGAATTCTTCCTAGGATACCTGCATTCATTCTGACATAGTTGGACCTCCCTCGGTCCAGTGCGCCAATTGAGAATAAGGCATAAATGATTAGGTGGCCAAGTAAGTGGTCGCAAATAGTAAACCGTGAGTTCCCGCCTAGCGGCCTATGAAGTCATTCTGCTAGCTATCCTCTCTGAGGTCTCATCGGCATTAGCCACCCGTTCTTCGTGCCCGGCCCAGCTTCCTAATCTAGATCTGTGACAAACCATCTGGACTTGAGTTGGATTCTGGGGTGTTCCTCCCCCAAGCGTGGACGACGCCATCGACGACGATTGCGGCGTACTCTGGCCAACGACATGGGTCGCAGGTCTCACTGAGACCTTGGCGCGAGTGTGGAATGGGTACGCACATTCTGCTGGCACAGGCGCTTCTGACGTTCTCGTGCAGACAGAGGTGGAGAGGTGGCGCACGCCCGCCGTGCGTGTACCGACCCAGGCGCGGGTGAACAAGCGACGCTGTGGGATCAAGCGCCAATGCCCCTCCTTCAGTTTCGCCAAATCCCACGCTGACTATCTATCTTCTAGCACTACAGCCGAGCCCACCGTCGGCGAGCTGCGCTTCATCGCGCGTCTCTCCACATCCACCGCCGCCAACGGCCCCATAGTTTACAACGTCAACGGCGGCACCGCGATCGAGGCCTCCAACGTCTACCTTCTCAGCGGCCAGACACGCTCCAAGTTCTACTCATCCCGCTACTCAGTTCATCGAGGACCAGGTCCACGGAGCCACCGGCTCCGGCATCGGTGTATATATGTGCACAGGCTATGAGCTCTCCTCCGGCGGGCCCTTCATGCGTGACATCGACAACCAGAATGGCGGCGACCAGGAGGTCTACTTCTACATGAGCTCGGGCCACACCGAACCCGAGGCGTACCGCCAGGGCTTCCACGGGCCGTACGCATTGTGGTTCACCACGGGCGCGGCGCCCTCGGCGGCCTTGAACACGACCTTCTGGGCGACGTTGGGCACAATCTCGGGTTTCGTCGCGGAGGCGGGGCGCGGCCGCGTCACTGGTAAGGCCAGCAACTTCCGCTCGGCGCACTCGACCCTGCTCAGCATCGGCTGGAGTAACAGCGCGGACTCCGCGGGCAACTTTGTCAGCTCGTTCATGAAGCCGGGGACGTACACCATGACCCGTGAGTCGGCTGTCCACAGACAAGACGAGTCTTCGCTGAGATGTGCTAGTGTACGAGGTTGAGCTCGCCGTGGGCTCCACCAGCGTAACCGTCTCCGCCGGCGGGAACACTGCTGCCAACATAGCTTCGACGCTCTCGGTACGCATGTCTTTGCAAGGTGGCTTCTTTCGCTGACCATCCCGCAGCTCCCGACGACGATCTGGACGATCGGCGACTACGACGGCACTCCCCGTGGTTTCCTGAACGCCGAGTGCGTCTTTCTGCATATGTGTTCAACGAACTGGACGGCTGATTTTTTGTACAGCAAAATCGAGACGATGCACAGTACGCTGTGAGAACCTAAGTATCGGCAATCCAGGTGAAGACCGGGAGGATGTATTCTGGCACCGAGCGGTGAGTCGAATGACGAACAGAGGGAGGATTTCCGAGATGAACTAAGGTAGATTCTCAACTACTGACAAAGTTGATCTACGAGTAGCTATGGATATGTGTGCGATATTTATACAGAAAGGAATTTGAATTATCGCTAGTTGAACAATAAGAACAATAAAGGTTCCAGAATGTAGAAGAACAATAAGTGGGGAGCAAGAATGGAGAGAACAATCAGGAATAAGACTTGGCAGTCTGGAGAGAACAATAAACAAGAAGACTGCGAACTGCGGGAATGGAGAGTCCGATGGAGCGTGAGAGCGAGGGGTTTCTCACATACGCGCATGTCGTCCTAAGGCCCCGTGACACACTGTCGGCAACGCCGTCACCGCCTTCCCCATGGCCATCTGCAAGGCCATCGGGCCCGTCACCATCAAGACCACCCTCACCTCTTCGCAGAGTGCGTTCCCCTCGCTGCTTCATTCTTGTTACTTGCGCTGACATCACTCCACGACTGCAATCGGCACTCGGACGCTGGCCAATGACTGCCACGACCCTGGCGTTCGGGGGTGCCCGCCCAGTCGTATCTGTTGGCAGCTTCACCAGCGCCGTCCCCCCCGCCCCCAGCCAACCCGACTCCCGCGGCGTCACCCACGGGACTTGGCGCGGAAACGTCAGTCGTCGCATTTATTATTAAGCATACTAACGGCCTGGCAGAACATCCTGTACACCTACGCCATCCCGTCGGGCACCCTCGTTGCCGGAAGCAACACGATCACCATCAGCGTCGCGTCGGGCTCCTCCGGCGACACCTTTTTGTACGTCGCCGCCTTTATTCAGCCGTGGGACCTCACGCTGACATTTCGGACTGTGTACACTCATCTTCGAAGCGCTCTGGTTGTTCTAGGGGGTATACGCGGAAAACAACTGGGGGATTGAATGTATACCCGTATACTTATATACCCGTCACCCGGTTTGCCAAACTATTGATTCAAGTCGAGGGGGGGGGGATATTTTATAGTGAGTTTGGCATGAAGCAGGTTAATACGCTCGTCACATGAAGGCAGGATTGACTTGTAACACCACAAATCATTATTTCACGAATTCTCCGCCTTCAGATACACCAAACTAGTACAAGGTAGCAGAGCCCAGGTCCAGATGCTCGTGGTTGCCGTCGCATCAAAAATATCCTCCGCCAAATACCTCCGCCACACAGAAGAAAATGATAATAATAATGAAAACGCTGGAAGCGGGTTCAGCGAAAATATGAGAATAAACCCGGACAAAGAAGACGCACAATGGTCGAAGGGTTGTTGCTGAGCGGCGCCGCTCAAGCGATGACACAGCTGCCGCTGGACCCCGTCCCGCCGTCCTCGTTCATGGGCGGGAGGGCGGTGTCCTCCTTGCAGACGACGCAGCTCCCGCTGGAGCCGGTGCCGCCGTCTTCGTTGGTGGGAGGGAGGACGACCTCCTCGGATTTAGTGGGCACGGTTTTGGTGAAAGCGTCCATGGTTAAAGAGGATGAGGACTGCGAATGAGGAGAGTTTATCGAGGGAGAAGCTGAGGGATGAGATGAAGTGTGGGGGGGGTTTTTATACCTTTTGGCCGGGGCCTCGACGTCTTGTTCATTCTTCATTCAGACAAGGTCCGGTCTATGATCGGTCTCAAAGCGTTGGATGCATTATAATATTCACCCTTTCTTGAGATTCAAGGGCAACCGATCAATTGAGAACAGAATGCACTGGTGGCTGCGTTGAATTGTTCGAAGCGTAGATCGGGACGAGACAGAGTGCATTGCATGTTGGGTGCCTTGAATCCAGGATCGGCAGTACAATGCGCTGTTGTTAGGCACAGGGGTAGAGGGGCTTCAACAAAACGATCGCACAAAAGAGCTTTGATCGAGAGCGAGACCACATTCAGTCGCCAGCTCCGCTTGGAAAATCAAATGCCGCACCTGCCTTTGATCAAATAATACTTAGACGTGGATACATGGTCCGAGGATGGACACTACCTTGTCCGATTAATTAATCGAGGAGATGTGGCGGAGACAGACAGTAAAAAGAGTGAACAGATTTCACAAATGACCCAGCCCCGAATCGAACGGGGTGTTCTGCATCCCACTGACAGCATTTCCCCTGCAAAGGAAGGCAGACGCGGACCATCCGCCACCGGGTCGATAGACGAGTCGAAGCTACCTTGATGTCTTCAGTATAATGTGCGAAATATGGTCGAGACTGAGGTAAAAAAGACCGGAATCTATTCAATACATGACCCAGCCCCGAATCGAACGGGCTATTTCTGCATCTCAACGAATTTCTCTATAGAGCGAGCAGACGCCGGACCCTCCGTCACCGAGGTCGATGTTAGTCTCGAAACTCCCTTGGTGTCAGGCGTCGAAAAACAAATTAATTTGCGTCGAAAGACAAATCAATCGAGCGTTATCTGAACCGCTCCCACAGATGGAGATGAAAATACATACATCGGTAGGGTGCTTGGCATTCGCATTCTGCATCCTAATTTCTAAACACGATGCTCGTCACCATTTCAGTAGGATTAATATTGGTGGACAGACTCGGTACTCAGCGTGTACCAGAAGATAACGCGCCCCCCACTCCCCACTCTCAAAAACAGGAGCCCAGGCCTCCATCGTCCGCAGGCCCTCCATCCCGGCGGCGAGCGCGTTGATGCGGAGGGGCGAGACGACGGTGCGCACGTTCGCCTCGGAGCCGGAGGCGGGCTTGCGGCGGCACCCAAGCGCGCCAGCACCGCCAGCACCGCCAGCACGCGCGTCCCCGCCTTTCCGCCCGCGCCGCGTCAAAACTCCACTCCGGGATACAGACGTAGTGTGTTGCGCGAGCGCTTGCAGCGTCTCGCGGAGGCGGGCGTGCGCGGGGGAGAGGAAGTACCTGAGGCTGTGCGAAGACGACAGCGTCCCAGCGCGCGTCTGGGTGCGCGTCGAGGAACGCGAGCGGCTCGGCCTGCCCTCACGCGGTGCGCGCGCCGAGCGCGCCGGCGCTGATCGTCGCCTACTCCTTGCCCAGTGTTTTTTTGGCGCGCCTACCCATTTCGTCAGGACCCTGGCCAGGTACACGAGGAGGGGAGAGGGAAGGGGGGAACAGGTGTACCGCGGTCGAGCGGCGCGGGGTCGACCGCATCGACGTGCCCATTGCCGCCGACGGCGAGCGCAAGCGTCGTGTCTTCCCGTTCGTACCCAAGGTCGAGAATGCGCGCGCCGGCGCCGATGGGATAGTGCGTGACGAGGTCGAGGTGGTACTGCGCTTGCGCGACGCTGGAGGTGGGGCCGCAGCCGTAGAGGCGTGCGAGGGGGTCGAGGCGGGTGTGGACGGGGATTGAGCCGCCTCACTGCTGCTGGTGGGAAGCGCGCGACGAGGCGGCTTCAATGGCGGGTTCTGAGTCATGCGGGCTGGCGCGGAGCCGTCGATACTGAGGCTCCTCGATTCGCGGGGCAGGGGCTTCGTCGGGGTTTTGAAAACAGTTACAGTGATACTTGCTTCAGCCTGATTCAATTTCTCGGAGACTGGGGAGACTGAAGAGGGCGACTGCGATATTCAGCAAGAAATTCCCTCCGATGCAATTTCAAGGCTATTCGCGCACCTATCCTATTCACGCCTTGCCTCCTCCGCCCCAGTACCGTCGTCGAGGCCATTGCGCTCGGTTTGCTGTGACTCTGAGTGAGTGACGAGATCAAGCAGGCACACGTGATCCGAGTGGTGATCGGTGCATCGCATCCGGAAGTTTCCGGTGCTCTTGCGCGATACGTGTGTCCCAAGGTGATAGCCCACTCGTGCATTCCTCTGTGCGCTGTCCCATCTTGTCCTCGCCCCTCAATTTTGATTTTGATTTTTCCGCCACGCGCCATGGCCAAGCTCAATTTTCACAGATTTTTGACGTAAGGATTATGGATATTGATATTACGGACCCAGCTAGTACCGACCCAGTAGCAGATGGTCCGCATATGGTCGTCTTATTTAAACATAAGATATCCATGCAGATTTAATACCCCGCTCGATTCGGGGCTGGGTCATTGGGGACACGCCTCGCGCTTTTTTATCCCTAGCTCTACTACACCTCGCAAGTGTTCAGAGAGCATTTTGTCTTTCTCCTTTTGACCGCCAACACTCACAGGACACCAAGCTACTTTCAAACCTTCCACCGACCCGGTGGCGGATGGTCCGCGCCTGCGCATTATAGTGAGGAAACCATGAGAAGATATTGCAGCAGAATACTCCTGCTCGATTCGGGGCTAGGTCATGCGTTAACATATTTTGGTTTTTACCTCCCTCTCAACCACATTTCGCCGTTTAATACTGAGGATGCCTAAGACACCGAGGTACTTTCAAGCCCTATATCGACCCGGTGGCGGATGGACCGCTTCTGCTCACCTTGTAGGAAGAAATATTTCCAGCAGAGAATGCCCGTTCGATTCGGGCCCGGGTCTTGGTCTTTTAGTCTCCCCCTTTTATCGGCGTCTACAGTCTACCCAGTATGTCAGAATCCTTCAATAATGTATCCCACAGGACACGAAGGTACTTTCAACCCTTCCACCGACCCGGTGGCGGATGGTCCGTGTCTGCGCATGGTGAAGACACAGCGATAGATTGCAGCAGGATATGCCTGTTCGATTCAGGCCCGGTAGCGGATGGTCTGCCCGACTTTGCAAATCATTGATTCGGGCCCAGATCATAGAATCTGGAATTTCTATTCAGCGTGTTGCGTGCAGCGAGTTGAACCTAACTACCAGGTGTGTAGATTTCCCTACATGATTCATACACATGTAATACCTCCCTGCGTATTTTCCTCCTGCCGAGGATGGCCCTCCATCTTCGTCGTTCTTCCCAGTGTTTCCAACAATCTAAACCTGAGGCCTTCACTATTTCTAGGCTAGGTATGAGTGTGCAAGGTCACTCAGATACCGACCCTGTGGCGGATGGTCTGCGTCTGTGCGCAGAATTGATGTAGTGCATGATACATGTAAGGCTTGGTGGCCGAAATTCTCACTGACGTGGCGTGCGCAGATCGGTCGCTCTTCCCCATGCGCAACGCTGACGCGGCACGCAGCGCCCGTCGAGTCCGCGCTCACCATCACTGTGGCCCGGTGGCCCGGGGTATGCCCCCGGCCTTTTGGTACGCCGGACCCAGCTCGCGCGCACGCAAATCTATCGTCGTCTTCGCAGTCTCATCGAGGTCCTCGATGAGACTGCGGAGACGCGCTTGCTTATGGTGATGCCGGCCGAGGAGAATGCACGCTCGCTCGAAACGGAGGACGCCATAATTGCGAGGTAGTCACGCGCCAGGGAAGCCCAGACAGGGTACAGTGTTCCACCGGTCAACGGAACACCCAAATTAAATTGCTGATGCCCTTATTTTGGGGTACTTTTTGAAAGTTCCTAGTAGGCCAAAATGTGCATCCATAGCTAGTACATATTTGGATATGAAGTCTTAATTTTTGGTGCAGAAACGAGGGAGCAACTGAGTGAATTTCTGCCACCACTCAACGGTACACTCACACGGTCTGACGTTATTATGATTTGATGCTGTTTTCAAAGGACTGCCTAAACGCGCGCTGAACCTCGATGACACACAAACAAGCTATCTAAACCTTCTAGAGAATAGAATCAGTGACCCTGACCATAGTTGAACTGCAATGGATGTGTTGAAGATATTCTGTGGCTGACTTCCCACGGTGTCTGACCGATCATTTTTCCCAAAACGGACGACGAAACCAAAAAAATTGTTTCCTCCCAACGAACTACGATCTAAGTCATTGAAATGAACTGTCATATCTCTCCCAGGTATTACAACATACCACACTTTTTTTCTCTCATTTTTAAATTGACTTTTTATGCTTTAGTGAAGATATTTCTCCTGCAAAGAACATTCACTCTATGCTCAAGTTGTGTTATACACATATGGGTAACACACTCAAGACTGCCCCCAATTTATTATAGAACCTCACTGCATCTTGTACTGATATAATACAATATTCTTTCCGGCTGTACCGTTGACACGTGGTGTACCGTTGACCGGTGGAACACTGTATCGATCTGTGTTCAACTATTCAAGTGCGGTGTCAGCAACGCAAAGGAACGACAACGCGGAAGTTGACATACACCCCACCACACAATTGAAGCCATGCCCTCGGGAACGGCCTCGCGCACATTCAAATAAAGCTTGAACCCATCGAGCCATGGCTGCGCCCGATCGGCGTGATTTGAGGGACTATCCGCTGCAGAGCAATCATCTGAGGCGAATGTGAACGATCAACGAAGTGCAGTGCTGGTATTGGATTTTTTGGGCACCGCGGGGCGATTCACGGCCGAGCCCTGTAGTTCGGAATATCGCGCTTTGAACTGTCTTGGCCCGCCAAGAGGTCATGACATACTAGTAAGCTTGATGAATGAGTCAGTCGGGAGTCAGGGGACCGGTCAAAAACACGCTCAAGTTCTGCAAAATCACAGACCGGGATAGGATTTGAGAGCAAGATGATGACGAGCGAGGGACACGTACATGGTTGCAAACATCACCACACTTACGGCCTGAACGCCCCGCGCCTGGATTCAGCGTGGTTCAACTTGAGTTCAATCACGCAAGTTGGAATTAGGTCGAGAAAAGTGGAAAATAACCCCACCAAGCCATGGCTTTGGTGGCCTGGCTTGGCTCGAGAAATCTGAAGCCAGAAGCCAGGGCCAGCCCAAGCCAGGGCCACCCCATGGCCTGGCTTGCCGAAGCCATGGCTTGGCTGACTTGGCTTCTGGCTTGAAGCAAAACACTAATCGAGGATCAGGAAGCCTGGGAATCCGCCTGCCCTAATTAGTGATGGCCGGGTCGGGCTTCAAGCCCAAGCCCAGGCTTGGGTCGGGCTTGAAAGCCCGACCCAGGCCCGACCCGAGGTAGGGCTCAAGTCGGGCTCAGGGTCGGGCTCAGCTTCTGAGCAGACCCGCGACCCGGGCTTGGGCCTGGGTCTCTTTGAGTTAGCCTGAGTTCAAATTCTTCAAAGGAATTCCACTTTCACTGAACCATCCTTGCTTAAATCTCAGGTTAAATCTGATTTCTACTTGAAAGAGACTTACTTGTCTATGTTCAACCATGAAACATAACATCTCGACATTTGATGGGTATGCCGCATTCAGACTTGTGCTTCAAATGGCCCGCCA